ACTTGGAAGTCGAGAGCCGTGGCGTATCACCATGTTGAGATGAATAGGTTCACATAGGTCGGGGTGTGTTATCGAGGAAGCAGAATTGTTGAAGTGGTATGCTGTTTTCGTTCCAAGGCGAAACGTTTGCGAGCCTCCAGCATACTGAAAGAAAAACAATCGAATAATAGAGAATAAAACCAGTTTCAAAGCCATGTTGAGGGACGTTCGTGGCTGTGTTTACACGGCCGAGTGTGCATGCTTAAACCATAACAACGTCATGTTTAGGGGATATTGATGCATAGCTGAAATGTAACGCTTGCCGATAGAGCTACACAAAATGCAAAAATGTCACGTCAAAGAACGTCATGACGTCATTGTTTATGGGCAACTGAGATTTCCTTCGCCTTTCCCTAGATTGTGATGCTCATACTGGGAGCCCATCGCTGATAGTGACAACTAGACTCCTAAAGAAAAGCGAACTTCTGCTGAGGATAAAATTATATTTAGAAAAATAAGAATACATTAAGCCGTGTTCGTGGTAAATTATGGTTTGACGAAAAAGAAAACATCACGATGAACGAAAACGAGCTCATTAAAATTGATGACAATAAACTATAAGTAAAAGTTTCGCTTCCGTTTCCCTTCGTGTTTGCTTATGTTTTTCCATACGTGAGAAGTAAAAACAAACAGCACTATGATCCAAAACATTGAATCAATTTTGAAGCAGCCTTGAACTGAATTCTTTGTCTTTTAAATTAATTGTTTGAGTATTCAATTATTTTCATCTATCTATTTATTCGTTCATTGATTAATTTATTTATCTGTTTATTATTTTTTCATGGAACTCTCTTCCGAAAAATAGATATACCTGTCTTAAGTAAACGAAACATTTTTTTCCCAGTCACTCGGCCAACCATATGCTGCCTGCCCTTAAAATCTTCAAAATATACCTAGAATATCTAAAGATTGGAGGGTAAAAGTGTGATTTCATCATAGTTCATTTGACTGGGGATTATGAATGACAATTCCCCGAAGGTGACTGGTTTAAAGGAATCTAGACAGGCAGAACTATAATGATGATGACAATAATAATTAATTGACGATTTCGATAGCGCCATATCCATTAGCTCATAACACTTTACAACACTTTGCGGGGAACTTTAGCCAGACTGCATTGATCAGTTTACAATTTTGAAAGACATTTTTGCAGACGTTCCCAATTTCGGAATCAAGTCCACAGTACAACACCGAGAGCAACAATCAAACTCAACGGTTTATTTTCCTTTTCTGAGAAGACCAGCATGTCTAACCATTTGCAGAGGTCACAGCAATAGCTAGCACATTCTCCTCAACTATTCTAAGACGCTCAATTTTGTTCTGGTCTGGAGCTTAAACACTCGACCTCCCGCACGGCAGTGGGTCCGGTGCTCTACTATCTGAGCCAACCAGGAAACTGGTTAACAACTTTCTTATGTTAACGATTGCGGGGGAGGTCTGTGGAAGCATTTGGTCGTGTCAGCGGCAGCAGCTTTAAGTAAACTTTCAAACTGAATACATTGACTAACGCGAAAACTAAACCTGAGGCCACGTAACTCATCATGAAGGCTGTCATACGAGATAAACAAGCAATACTCGTAAGTATGAAGTGTTTCGTTGATATACCTTCATTTCAGGGTAACTTTCAGAGTTTCATCGCAAAAGAAGGAGTCAAAAGGATCGAGGATTTACTGGAAAGTTTGTGTAAATCTTAACTGATGTTAGGTAATTGCATCTGTATTATCTGCATTCGTTGAAAAAAAAATATGTCTGCATTTTCGTGGTCGTTGTCGCAAATTACATCAAAATAGAAAAATGTATTTCCCTTTCGTCAATTTTCGCATTTTGAAATTGTAAGCTTTGCTTTGCAGAAAAATCCCAGATCGACGGATTTTGGATTTTTTTCTTATTTAGAAGACTCCGTTCAATAACAGAAAAACAATCTAACGCGGAAATTAATCGACTGACTTCCTACGGAGAGGTCCACTAATTACCGATTGCGGAAAAAAGTTTACGAACGTAAATTTTTCGATGAGCACGTTCCACTGAACAAACGGAATTAGAAAAAGGCTACCCTGAACTCCACAACAGTTAGAGTCATCCGAAATGCTGCCTCACGAACTGCTCCAGGTCAAATTAATTTAGAACAAAAATAAAATACTATTGTTTTGGTCGTTTATTTCTCTTGACATTTTCGCGTGCTCTCACCTCGCTAAATGGCAAATGTTTACATTATTTGTTTTACGACGAAGACCAACAGATGTTTTGCAACCTTTGTTTTGCTTATCTTGTCCGGGTAATTCTTTATTTAGTAACATCAAGAGTTAATCATTTGGATTTTGCTTGTGGGAAACGGCAATAGATGATCCATGAGACGTGACGGCACGTTTCTTACACGTATTTTTTTCTTTGTCACATGCTCGCAGCAAGACGAGAACGTTTTCCTTTATTTCATTATCGATCTAAAAATTTGAAATCTTTCCTCTTCGATTTACCCGCTCGAAACCGTGATACGGACCGACTCACACATATGCACTAAGAAAAGCCTTACCTGGTGCATCAGAGAGTTCTCCTAAGCTGTGGGAGAGAGCATCGTAGCGCCGAATTTGAAGGCCTGGCGTGGAATGATAACGGGAATCAGTTAAGGAGTGGAAGAGTGAGACGGATGACACAAGGCAGGACCTTGATAGCTCCGCTGTCATGCGAAAACCAATCAAATTACTTTATCATGCATCATATAACGGATCACACGTGTCGCCAAAATGTGGTGAGAACTTGAGTGACTTGCCCATGGCGCGTGTGCCGCTTTTTTGTTCTTACCAAATTTTAGCGGCAGCTTTCACTTCAAAGTGAAAAGACGTCCGGTGAAATTGAATCTATTTTTTAAATAGATAGGACGATTACTTTTAGGCGAAAATCGCCAGAAACACACTAACATTCGTCATAAGCCACCATACGATGGCCTTTTTTGTGAATGCATCTCCTGCACTTGAAATTTGACCATTTCTTAAATATTCATCTCATTCTTTCCTCTTAGCCCTGTGATGAGGTAATTTCTGTGGAGTGCCGTGACGATATCGCCTCTCTACATGCTCTGAGAGTTCAAATTGACCGAGAACTGCTCGACCTCTCCTTCTTGAGCGACGCGGAAAGCATGGGCCAAAGAGATCTTGCGAAAAGTTCTTCGGCACCAGATCTCCGAAACTTATCCGTGACAGTCAAAGATATGGAGACTAGTAGTGTGTGCTCAGTCGATGATCTTTCCCAAGGATCCTTGGGAGCAGAGCGTTTTCTTGGGGCAAGCACAAGCGCCTGTGACGTAAAGCGGTCCAAAGAATGGCTTGATACTTACCTTTGATTAGAATAATGGGTTGTGATCGATAGAGGTGGTAGGCTTTGTTACACTTGGGAAGGAGTTTTGACTTTGGTATCGGTATTTATCGAATAGTCTACAGAGCATTTCTGGAGGGCCTTTGTTAAGAGAGCAGACGAGTAGTAACATATGCCGAATCGCTTGAATTTCTTCAAATGTAGTTTTACTTTACTGCGTCTTCAACGACATGCTCATTACACATCTCAACAAAAATTATTCGAATTGCACTTTATCCTTCTTCCAAGCATGTTACAGACAACCCAGAAGAGCAGGTTTGATATTCTGAGAGTTCAAAACGTTAAGCTCGTGTGTCTGTATTGCAGTAGTTATCGATTCATATTGCTTTTTTCCGATTCCTTTTGGTCTTGTTTTTCATTTGTTTATACAATAAAGGTCTACGGTAGAAAAAAAGAAAGTTTGGTTTTCACGTTCAGAGTTTGCGTGTTATTGAGGTTTCGCGGGCATGGCACATGCGAACAAACCGAAAAAAATGTAAATAGAGTTCATTTTGAGTTCATGCAGAACTTAAACGCATAATTTATTGTAATAAATAACGCTGGGATGTAAGAATTGATCAAAATGCCTGACATCAAAGATTTATGACCAATGTTATTTTATTTATTTTTTCATACTATGTTGTATTTCGTTCTTGTCAGAAAGCAAAGCCAACACAATGTGTTAAGTTTAACTTGTAAGCTCAAGAAATTTGTATGTAATAATGCTGCTAAAACGGCTAAAACAAAGATAGCTGACCATGCATGGAATATTTATTTGTAAAGAGGACAGTAATTAAGAGGAAGAATGAAGTGATTACCAGAGTAAGACATTGTTGCTCGCTTAATATTGTAAATTTGGATTGAATTAAGAAAAGACAAGTTATACAAAAGTTATCGATGGTTAATAGAAGTGCAGGTATAAAATTGAAAAGAATATTGTGAAATCGGCCAGTAAAGAATTGTATTTAACACAAAGGTTGGATAATCAAATGAATTTATTGCATAATCGAGATACGTGTTTAATTACGAACCATGTGTTTTTTAGGCCGTGTGATAAAGACTAGAGAAGAGGCCAGCGTGTGTTGATAGTATGGTGTAATATTAGAAATATTAGTAAACTCCAAAGGTAGAGAACCGAAAACTATTATCATGTATACATGTTACAATAAACCTTTTTTTCTCTGGTACTGTTTGGCTGTTGGATTATCAGAGGCTAAGAATGACGTTAACGCAAACGGGAAGAATGGAACTTCTTGCCATGGGCTTGGAGACACTTTGCCCAAAAGTTGAATTATATTTGCGTTAACTGTAATCGAGCGATATATTTTTTGCCATTTTCCAATGCTTCAAACTCGCTGTTCTTTAACAGGATTGGTGTCTTGTAACAATTTCTAATTACTTAATATTATTATGTTATTTGTTGCCCCGATACTCAGATTTTCCCCTCATCCTAGATCAACCTACAGTGTGTCATCTCCCTTGCCAATTTTCAGGGTTACCGTGGGTTTCCCCGCATGGGAACCGCTAAGATGAATCGCCTATGGCATGGCATTGCAACCGCTCATCCCAAAAAGCGGGAGGCTTGGGTACCAAAATACAAACAAAGATGGAGAACGCTCTATGTACGCCTTTGTGAACTCGTGAAGATTTAACACTTCATACCGTTCTTCAACTTCTTAGCTGAAAAGTGTCGCTTAGGGCGAACTGTATGATTTAGGAATGAGTTTAGGCATGGGTTTGGATTCATCAAAACCAAACCAATCAGATATTCACGGAACACAACTGGCTCTTTGCACGACAACTTACCGGTCATTTCATTTGAAAGGCGAACCAATTCCTCCACCCTTTACCGTCTTGAAGGAACTAAAGCATTCAGGCCCATTAGGAACTGATCAAATGATGAAGGTAACAGCCTGTGCCTTTTCTCCGAACGACGATACAAGTTTGCTGTCACTTACAACATTTGCTGGCCTTGATTTGAGACATTTTCGAGCAGGATTTGTTCAATGTTGGGACCTCGATAGCCTCGAGGAAACCCATGATAACAGCCTGTTCACGTACTCACCGCGTCCCGTTTGCAATTTTTCGCCAAATGGGGAGATTTTGTCGTTTATTTTAAACACAGGTCACGGACAAATTATTTTGGCTGAGCACACAGACGATTGTACTCTAGAACCGTTCACAATTGACTGTGATACAGGTGGATATGGCGATAGAAGTCTTCTGTCCAGAGCTTTATGTTGCGTGTTTTCTCCGGACGGCCGCAAAGCCGTGACAGTGAGCAATGTTACGCTAGAATCTCACAGAGGTACTGAAACAAATGAAATTTGCCTATGGCAAGTGAAGTCCAAGAAAAAGCTAAAAAGTTCATGGAGAGTCAGTTGTGAAGTTGTTTTTCCAGGATTTTCCGGTCACTTGATCAGCTGTGTCTTTTCACCAGACAGCTCCCTTGTTGCATTTTCCAGTTCCTTGAGTCAGCTATATGTTCTGAAAAGTGAAAATTTAGAGTTGCTGTCTGCCATTAGGACTGATGTTGCAAGAAATGCTTGCAGTTGTTCTTTTGTTCCCTGTTTTCCATTTCAAAAGCTTGCAGCCTGCTATGAGGATGGTGTTTTTCAGATCTGGTATATTCAAGATGGTAACACTAAATGTGTAACAGAAACAAAGATTGTGACAGGTTCAACTAAGTTGACAGCATTTTCATACAGTGCAGATGGTGCCTTATTAGCCTTTGGTACTTCACAAGGAAAAGTTATTGTAACTGAAACAGAACTGTTACAGACTCTTTATGAGATAAGTTCAATACATGTACCTGATGCCAGGCTAGACTCTGTTTCTAATGAGTCAAGCACAACCATTGTGTGTTCTGTTGCCTTTGCAAGGAGCTGTAATGAACTGGCCATTGGACAGAGTGATGGCTTAGTTCGGATCTGGCAGTTGCCTCTAAAATTTGAACTGCAACATTTATGTCGTTTAGTGATTAATGGGTTGGTTCCACCAGCACAAGTGACACATCTGCCCTTACCAAGAAACTTAAAAGCTTATCTATTATTTTCACCTCTTGCTAGTACAAGAGTAAATGAATGTTCTTGAAGATCCGAAGCAAATTGTAGCCATTAAAGAGACCACTAAGACACAGAGACTCTATGGTGAGGGGGCCCATACCATCTTTCCTATTCTATTCACAAACATGATGCTATCGATATTGCTGATCCTAGCAGTACACAGGACGTGTGTCATATGTACCTCATAATAGGTGTCGCTCACTCACCATAGAGTCTCTGTGGCTCAGTGGTAAAGCATTGGAGCATGGCCTGAGGTTCTTGTGGTGACTCAAAAATTTTTTCTTTATCCTGCACTTGTCACAAGATGAAAAACATCTTCCTCTATTTTTTTACTGAGCTCAAACTTACCATCTCTCTCATACTATTTAGAACCAGTTTAATTGTTATCTTCCAAAATAGGTCTAATAGGAAATTGAAACTTAAAAACATTAGGTATTTGTCACCATTGTCTCAAAACTATTTAGCTTGTTTCTAATATATAATACCAAATTTGACTAATCTTCCATGTAGTCAACATTCCAATCTGTTCGTTGGCAACTTCTTTCAGCTGTAAAGAGTTTTTTCTCAAATTGAGGTCTTGTTTCTCTTCAGATGTTTGATAATTTTTTGAAATGTTGTGGTAGATTTGCAACAAAAACAGGCAAAACATAGGAACACGTGGAATTTCAAGCCATTTAGTTCCAACACCAAAAAACTATGTAATTTCTTGATATCAATGCTGTAAATTATTTTATTTTATAAGTTTGAAGGAGGTCAATTTATCCCTCATTGTATCTGAGTTAGATAAAAAATGTTCTTAACATTACTCAGAGCTATTACTTTGCACTTAAGATTTGTAGCTATACAGCTCCACTGCATGAAGTGTCAGTTCATGTAGAAAAAAATGACAGTGGCAGATCATAAAAAGAATTATGACAAGACTGCCAGACCACACACACACACACACTCTCCCCCCCCCCCCCCCCTTGCCCTGCCTCAACAACTGGCAATGCAGCATTACTGCTGGCCTTGAATGCAGATTTTCAAGTAAACATTTTTTCAAATGATAGTAAGGTATATTTATTATGAATTTTCGTTGATGATCTGGCACACTTAAATGTTATGGAATTAGGGAAATCTTGCAGAATAAAAGAGGATCTATACTTTTTCACATATAGTTGACAGTTGCTTCCTAAGTAGTCCTAAAACTACAAGAAAAATAGAAGAGTCGTGGTCAACGTAAACATACCTACAAGAAAAAAACATAAAAGAAACAACTCAGTCCTCTTTCATAAGTATGGCCATGGGCCAAGATTAGCTAAAGGGTTACCCAACTCCTTGGGTAGCCTGTGCCAAGCTCTTGATCCACAAGCACGCAAATGTAAAACAGCAAATGCAAGTGTTTGCCTTGACGACTGCAACTGCTAGCTAATTTGCTCTTCACAGACTAGGTACCTGAAACAGGCTACAGCCTGGTGCAGATCTTTGAGTTGGCAAATAATTTATTTACATAATGGTTCTCCCTGTATGCAGAATGGAGACGAGGCTGTTAGAATCTACTAAAAAGAGTAAAAACAAGGAAAAATGATAATAGGATCTGCCGGGGATAAAGTAAAGTAGCCATGGCCTTTGGTTGATCAGTTGACGGTAGAGAACACATGGCTTCCAAATCACAGCTGTCAACAGTCTCCTTAAAACATGACAAAAATTCGTCAAGACTACATATTACGTTTTCATGACAACATGGCAGAGTTACTGGTTCCTCGTTCACCAACACCTGCACTTTGTGATCCCGTTTTTCCGCCATTCCTGAGGATTTGCACGCGTATAAAACCACAGCGACATTGCCCGACATAGGAACCATGTTAGACAAAACGAATTGTCGCTTTCTCATTTGGAGGTAATTGTCTGCCCGCAAAGGCATGGAATCTTTGAAAAGTCCGAGAATTGTCAACAACCCAACTAAAGTGCCTGATGACGTGAATCGAAATACTCCCCGAAGATCGGTTTGACCTGCGGAGAAGTCACGCAAATTTTTCGTGATTTCAGAAAGCAGAGTGCATTCCATCTTCAGATTTAGCTGGTTTCCGTATGAGTGCTCGTAATACGCTTCCAGATCACCCTGATACTCCATTATTTTGACATCATTATCTTCCAACAAATCACACCAGCTGCTGTCGTTACGGTTCATTACTCCAAACGCACACAACCGGAAAAGTTTCTCGACAAGATCAAACGTCAGTGACATCTTTCCGGTTATCTTGAGTCTTTTTTCAAGTCGTTCTGTTACACTCCTAGCTTCTGGCCCTTTCAAAAACTTTTCCACTTCATCAAGGCCATTCTCGTCAACGTCGATCTCGTACCGAGGACATGTTTTGTAAGAAGACAATAATTTATCCTGGTTTTGACGACCAGAAAACATGACAGCAACGGGTTGAAATTTTGATGGGCTTACAGGACCTTGGGATTCAAATAATCCGTGGGCAAACGCCATGGCGCTTTGAGTCGTGCGAGGTTTATCTGAAGACACAAAACTGTAATATTTATTCCAGTATTTCTTGTCGAAGACTCTGTTAAAACGGGCTCGAAACCTTTTGGCGATACTGTATTGTTCAATTTCACCAACGGCTGTTAACTCGCCTGGATTACCGTCGTTCCACAGCGGTGGTTTGATCCATGGTAACGTGAGATTTTGGTAGCGGAATGGCGAATCTTTTGTGTAGATTTGGTTCAGCTTGGTTAAAAGTGCATCAATTTCTTCCATATCGCCATCACTTGGAAGTCGAGAGCCGTGGCGTATCACCATGTTGAGATGAATAGGTTCACATCGGTCGGGGTGTGTTATCGAGGAAGCAGAATTGTTGAAGTGGTATGCTGTTTTCGTTCCAAGGCGAAACGTTTGCGAGCCTCCAGCATACTGAAAGAAAAATAATTGAATAATAGAGAATAAAACCAGTTTCAAAGCCATGTTGAGGGACGTTCGTGGCTGTGTTTACACGGCCGAGTACGCATGGTTAAACCATAACAACGTTAAGGGATATTGATGCATAGCTGAAATGTAACGCTTGCCGATAGATCTACACAAAATGCAAAAATGTCACGTCAAAGAACGTCATGACGTCATTGTTTATGGGCAACTGAGATTTCCTTCGCCTTTCCCTAGATTGTGATGCTCATACTGGGAGCCCATCGCTGATAGTGACAACTAGACTCCTAAAGAAAAGCGAACTTCTGCTGAGGATAAAATTATATTTAGAAAAATAAGAATACATTAAGCCGTGTTCGTGGTAAATTATGGTTTGACGAAAAAGAAAACATCACGATGAACGAAAACGAGCTCATTAAAATTGATGACAATAAACTATAAGTAAAAGTTTCGCTTCCGTTTCCCTTCGTGTTTGCTTATGTTTTTCCATACGTGAGAAGTAAAAACAAACAGCACTATGATCCAAAACATTGAATCAATTTTGAAGCAGCCTTGAACTGAATTCTTTGTCTTTTTAAATAAATTGTTTGAGTATTCAATTATTTTCATCTATCTATTTATTCGTTCATTGATTAATTTATTTATATGTTCATTATTTTTTCATCGAACTCTCTTCCGAAAAATAGGTATACCTGTCTTAACCATATGCTGCCTGCCCTTAAAATTTTCAAAATATACCTTGAATATCTAAAGATTGGAGGGTAAAAGTGTGATTTCATCATAGTTCATTTGACTGGGGATTATGAATGACAATTCCCCGAAGGTGATTGGTTTAAAGGAATCTAGACAGGCAGAACTATAATGATGATGACAATAATAATTAATTGACGATTTCGATAGCGCCATATCCATTAGCTCATAACACTTTACAACACTTTGCGGGAAACTTTAGCCAGACTGCATTGATCAGTTTACAATTTTGAAAGACATTTTTGCAGACGTTCCCAATTTCGGAATCAAGTCCACAGTACAACACCGAGAGCAACAATCAAACTCAACGGTTTATTTTCCTTTTCTGAGAAGACCAGCACGTCTAACCATTTACAGAGGTCACAGCAATAGCTTGCACATTCTCCTCAACTATTCTAAGACGCTCAATGTTGTTCTGGTCTGGAGCTTAAACACTCGACCTCCCGCACGGCAGTGGGTCCGGTGCTCTACTATCTGAGCCAACCAGGAAACTGGTTAACAATTTTCTTATGTTAATGATTGCGGGGGAGGTCTGTGGAAGCATTTGGTCGTGTCAGCGGCAGCAGCTTTAAGTAAACTTTCAAACTGAATACATTGACTAACGCGAAAACTAAACCTGAGGCCATGTAACTCATCATGAAGGCTGTCATACGAGATAAACAAGCACTACTCGTAAGTATGAAGTGTTTCGTTGATATACCTTCATTTCAGGGTAACTTTCAGAGTTTCATCGCAAAAGAAGGAGTCAAAAGCATCGAGGATTTACTGGAAAGTTTGTGTAAATCTTAACTGATGTTAGGTAATTGCATCTGTATTATCTGCATTCGTTGAAAAAAAAATATGTCTGCATTTTCGTGGTCGTTGTCGCAAATTACATCAAAATAGAAAATGTATTTCCCTTTCGTCAATTTTCGCATTTTGAAATTGTAAGCTTTGCTTTGCAGAAAAATCCCAGATCGACGGATTTTGGATTTTTTTCTTATTTAGAAGACTCCGTTCAATAACAGAAAAACAGGTCTAACGCGGAAATTAATCGACTGACTTCCTACGGAGAGGTCCACTAATTACCGATTGCGGAAAAAAGTTTACGAACGTAAATTTTTCGATGAGCACGTTCCACTGAACAAACGGAATTAGAAAAAGGCTACCCTGAACTCCACAACAGTTAGAGTCATCCGAAATGCTGCCTCACGAACTGCTCCAGGTCAAATTAATTTAGAACAAAAATAAAATACTATTGTTTTGGTCGTTAATTTCTCTTGACATTTTCGCGTGCTCTCACCTCGCTAAATGGTAAATGTTTACATTATTTGTTTTACGACGAAGACCAACAGATGTTTTGAAACCTTTGTTTTGCTTATCTTGTCCGGGTAATTCTTTATTTAGTGACATCAAGAGTTAATCATTTGGATTTTGCTTGTGGGCAACGGCAATAGATGATCCATGAGACGTGACGGCACGTTTCTTACACGTATTTTTTTCTTTGTCCCATGCTCGCAGCAAGACGAGAAACGTTTTCCTTTATTTCATTATCGATCTAAAAATTTGCAATCTTTCCTCTTCGATTTACCCCCTCGAAACCGTGATACGGACCGACTGACACATATGCACTAAGAAAAGCCTTACCTAGTGCATTAGAGAGTTCTCCTAAGCTGTGGGAGAGAGCATCGTAGCGCCGAATTTGAAGGCCTGGCGTTCGATTCCTCATGGGTACTCAGAATGTTTTCCTCGTTCCGCGTTTGTGACAAGACGAAGAACATCTGTCTCCTGTAGAATATCATGGTTTTTTTTTCATATTCAGATCTCTAAGATTAATACAAGTGTTTTAGAGAGCGATTTAAGTATCTTTGTGAGTTGAAAAATCCGCCATGTCAACAACTTTCGATATATTTCTGGTCTGCTTAATTGATTGCTGGATTGTTTTGCAATTAAGTTGCAGTTATCTATCACACAGAAATTATTGTCAAGGTACTGCCATGATTAAAGCGTCGGTCAGTTTTTTTTCCGCGTCAAATAAAAAGGGGAAATCACGTTTACTTTAACACTTTCCCCTTATTCCTAGCGGTAAATTTAGCTATCTCCCGATAACTCGTGTTTTCCCACCGGGTAATCAGGATGCAATGTCCCCTTTTGTTTTATCGTCCTGGAACCAAATTAGCTAGACAAACTTCCATCCTTTCATATGAATTAAGATTCCGCTTTTTTATTTATTTTTTTTTCGGGGGGGATTAGGTAAAACTAACTTTCAAATGAAAAGTTATGAACGGTGCCTTATTTTGATATTCAACAATCATTCACGGAAGTTATGGTAAATAAAGGTGGATTAAGGTGTTGGTCAGTTTTTTTTCCGCATCAAATAAAAAAGGGGACATCACGTTTACTTTAACGCTCTCCCCTTGTTCCTAGCGGTAAATTTAGCTATCTCCCGATAACTCGTGCTTTCCCACCGGGTAGCAGGATGCAATGTCCCCTTTTGTTTTATCATCCTGGAACCAAATTAGCTTGACAAACTTCCATTCTTTCATATGAATTTCGATTCCGCTCTTTTCTTATTTCTTTTTCTTTCTTTTTTTTTTTTGGGGGGGGGGGAGGGGGGGATTGGGTAAAACTAACTTGCTAATAAAAAGTTATGAACGATGCCTTATTTTGATTTTCAACAATCATTCACGGAAGTGGTGGTGAATAAAGGTGGATATTTACTCCGCCGCTTCGAGGCTAAGAAAGTATCCCCACTCCTACCGATAACGACGCAAATATTTGGTTTAGTATAAACCCCGAAAGAGCCCCTAAATTACCTTATTTCTGTCAATTTACCGAAAAAAGCTCAGAAATTAAACTTGGGACGCTTGAATTTGTCTCTTTGACAGTTTGGAGGAGGCCAATCAGAGAGCGAGAAAAGCACTATTTACTTGCGTGTTGTATACTAAAAAGGCTTCATACGAGTATGAAATAGACCATTTTGCGCAACTATGAGACAGAGCATACCGTTTACTGATTTCAAAATAATGCACTTTTCTTTGGGGCTAGCGTAAACGGACGTACGTGAAGTGAGTATTTCGTTAACGCTCTACGAGTAATTTTAAGTGCGCTGCAAGAAAGCACTCATGTCATTTCTACTAGAAGGTTGTTTTAAGTTTTCACTGCGGCTTATTCCATGAAACTTTAAGAAACTTGTTCTAACTACAATAACTGCGGCTAATCTAATGTTTGACTTGACTTTAGTAGGTTAGATATAAAAACCGCGAGACAGGTTTGTGTTTGAGGCGACCACTCTTTGTTTTTCTTTTGAAAATTTCTAACCTTTTTTAAATTACTTTTCGGAAAAAGGTCGCAAGCGCACTTTAGAGGTAAATAAGTGAATTTCTGCGGACATTTTCTCAGTAAATTTGTCAACCAAATCATTTCCTTTCGGAAAACTGGTCTGTCAATTTTTTATGAAAGTGGTCAAGGAGAGTTGCCAACTGAGAAAAAAGTTGCCACACTACTTAAATATACTTCCATGGAAACTTGTCTGTGAAAATTCGTGTTAAATTTCAGTCTAGAGCCTTAATTTCTGCGGTTTGTGTTGCGGATGTTTCAAGACGACGTGCAAGACAGCAATCTGGGTTTAAAAGTCTTAGCAGCTGCAAATAGCCCCAAAAGTTATTTATTGAGTTGCTGAGTAAAATATTTTTCCTCAACGAGGTGTTTTGTTTTTTGGAGTTCCCATCCATTTTAAAGCGTCCTTCCCCGCCACCTTAAAGACAGATATACAAAACTCAACATTGTATTGGTAGTGGGACGGGGGGGAAGAGGGGAAGGGGTAGACACAAAAGCAGTAAGGTAGGGGAAAAAGCTATGCTTCCGAAGACCTTACTACTCACTGATTGTACGATCGCAAAATGAATGCATAGTTCATGTGAACAAAGAGAAAATTGGTCCCGCCTCAGTTTGGAAATTAAGGAGGGATTTTCATTCACCGATTTCGGTTAAAAAAAAATCTAGAAATTTCTACTTTTTTTCCCACTATTGAACCAACGCTGACAAGTGAGATGTTTTGGTAAATCTTCAGACTTGACGGTTTAAATCTAGATCTTCTATTGCAAGCATTTGGAAAATTAGACGAAAAACAGAGTAAAAGCTCAGTCGAAGTCATAGCATTTTTCCTCCAACTCTTATATAATTGATGAAATTTTGATCAAAAAGACTTGTTTTTCTACTTTAGACAAAAAAATGAATAATTGAATGACATCTAAATAAGGTACCTGTTATAATTAGATAGATAGATGTATTAGTCGCATATTATTTAAATATGCATTAGAAAGATGCGACGAAACCGAAATACATTACATAGAATAGATTGATTTATTTACGAATCATTTTTGGCAAAACACGCATAGTGATCAGGATGAAATTATCAAATAAACCATTGCCGTAGTTTCCTTTTGAACAAAATACTCGGCTAGGGCATGATTTGTTTTTTCTTTTTTTTCTCTAATAAGATCGGTGCCCAAGTACAGATCTGGAAAGTGACAGCGATTTGACCTTTTGTTTACTGTGTTTCACAAAACTGTTAGCGAACAAAAACACATAGTACCTTGCCAGCCAGTCCAGTGGAAGGTTTATATTTTATTGATAAACGTTTACCCCAAAATTAACTCAAGAAGCTTGAGATAAAACCTCTCGAAAATATTATCAATGGATAAACTTGATTTTGAGCCTAATGAATTATGTGCATAATTTACTGTCGCTTGAGTAGGCGCGCAATTTCACTCGTTTATACAACTTATTTCGAATTTGATTCTGAATTTAACAATACCAATGATAAATTAGGGCATACGCTCTCGTTTCACGATGCAAAAAACATATTAATACATATTTGACATTTAATCTCTGCGTAAAAGTCAATCGCACTTTTCTAGAGTCGCCAAAACTTGCCATTTTTGTTAGTAAAAGTGATAGACATTTCTAAATTATAACATCCGCTGTTGAGCTCGGTAAACAATAGGACATTTAACAGAAAGTAAATAGATAGAGATGAAATAGGGGTACATTATGGTTATCCTAGAAGCACATTGCCTTTATTGCTCATATCAGCCATTCAATTTAAAGAAGCTTGTTCTTCCAAATTTGAAGTGTTCTTTGGGTCACGATGCATGTCAAACGTATCAAAATTTTTTTTTTTTCATTTTCTACTGTCCTCTCAACATGACAAGAATTCATCACTCTTTTAATTTTTCTGATATTTCCATCAAAGCCAATTCTTAATTCAGGTTTGTTAAAAAATTTTAAATTAATGGGTAGTTTGTTTTAGGGTGAGAAACTCATTAGTCACAAAGAATCAAATATTATTTTCTACAGATATTACGCGAGAAGTCTTTACATAACCAAAAATGAAAAGTAAACATTGGAAAAATTTTAATTAATTGAAAAAAAATAGCAGTTCAAGTTTACTAGCATTACAATTTTGTGCAAATCTTAATGCGGATTTGTATCGGAAACCGAACATTTCTTAAAGACGCGCGGTCTTTCTCAATCCTCTGCCTTGTTTATCTATTTATTTACTTATCTATTTACGTATTTATATATAGACTTATTTATTTATTGTTCTATTTTATTTATTCATTTATTTTTCATTGCCTTTCCTTCTGGCAGCTTGTTCGCAATTGAGTAAACGGTCGCTTGTCAACGTAACGAATAAATTCATGACTTAGTTCTTCATCATTGGCAGAAAAGATGACACACTTAAAAGCATTATTATTGACCGTGGGCCGTGAAATGTTAAAAATATTAACAAGCGCAATTCAGGGTTGGGAATAATAAGTGTTGACATGGTCGCCTAGGGAATTTCAAGCGTCTCTTGCATTCAATTAGGAAGAAAAATGGGAACTTACTGACCAAAAGACACCGACATCTCCTCTCTTTGCGTCTCTGGTCCTCCTTTCTTTAATTCTTTGACAGCACGGGCAGCTGGCTCGGAGATGTAAAGTACAATCGAAATGAGTTTCTTCGCGGCATCCCGTGAAAACATCGAATTTCCTCAGTGAATAGTTTAATTTCAAAACATCCAGCCTCTTTTGTGAATCACCCACGATCGAATGACTTAGTTTGGGGCAAGATACCAGTGCAAATTTGGGACGAAAAATAGACTTCAGCTGCTCTTCAACGAATGGTAAGCGAACACGAATTATTATAAACCGATGTTTGTCTTGTCCGTTGTCGCATTCGACGAGAAAAAAAAAAAAAGCAGTGTGTAAATCTGGTTATACGAAAATTTATCTAGAAACCGTTGTCAAAAATTGGTGGAAAAAAGTTCATTTCGTATATCTTTAATCAACTAACTTATCGCAAAACGAAGAGTAAAGTTAATGTAATTTGAAAAATTGAAATGTGTTGGTGTTTTGTTAGTCAAATTGCGCCGCATTAAAAAGAAAAAAGTTGGCAGTTCGGGTGACGAAAGGAGAGTAGACATTTTCTTTCAAAACAAACAAACTAGCTAAGTTTGAAATGGAAGATATAAGATATGTGCACTTGTTTTCTCCCAGGCCCTGTTTTTGTATTAAGCTTCATCTAAGCTTTAATCTGTTGTTCCTTTGAGAATCCTTTCAGCAAATGCAAAGTTTAAACCGGAATACCCAAATAGCGCACGCAAACCTGTTTTGTTTGGATAAGATTATGAAACAAGTCTTCCTCAAACGTGCTTTCCACTTGATCCTCCGTGGGATATAAAACTAATGTCTCTTCTTAATATTTTTCGCGTAAGATTGCTCTGTTTTGTTAATTACGTCGATGCTGAGTCAATGTTTAACAAGGCGGCGAAGAAAAGCAAAATTGATTTCCTAAATTAACGGCTCAATATCAAGGTATAAAATTGTTAAGGGCAGAATATTTTTAGCCGAGAGGATAAAAAAAACTCTGTGGTGGTCCTCTCAACCAAATATGACTCAGTATCGAGCGCGTTTTGATAAATTACCCAGATCTGAAATTTAAGATAAAACGTTTCGTTGACCGTGATCAAGGCTTGCGGAATTGTTCAAGTTATTTTAGGGGACTGTTTTAAACCTAAGGCATGACAATTTTTTAATCCTTAATCGATGGATTTACTGATTAAAGTTGAAAAAAAAAACAACAACAAAAACATATAAGACGTGTGTGTATACAGTAGAGTACTGCGCATGCGTCAGTCTCCCGGTAAATCATGTCAGATATTCATGCTCAAATTGACGCTCGTTTTGTGACTGTAATTCCTCACTAGCAGTCTTCAGTTCTGAATATTTTATGGGGGTGATGTTAGTAACTATTCAAATTCCTGGATTTCCTCTGAAGCTATATGCTATATTAGTTAATTTTTTTTATTTCTGCTCATCTTGCTCAGGAAATGCCGACCCCAATTTACGTGCGAGGCTACATATACACATGTGATTTTATTGGCTCGGAATTCCAAACTTATAGTTTCGTAGCATAAATGGTAGACGCACTAATTTCACTCAAACGTGACAAAAACATAAGCAACTTTTTGGTTAGAAGTTCATTTCAAACCAGTGACCAACGTGGAACTTTCAAATGCGCTCGCTCACGATGCACAACTTGTCCTTTCATTCATAACGCAGAGAAAAATTACACGGCACCTGGGCGGTGCAGTTTCGAATACCATTGAATCATCAATAATTTCTTGCAATTTCTTTCACTAAAGTTCTTATTTTTTATGATTTTATTCTTTAATGTTATATGTGACCAAAAATGTTTATGCCACTCATCTCTGATTTAGTGCTCATCTTGCTTGGAAAATTTTGGCCCAAATTCCTATTCAGCGGACGTTCAAAATAACAAAACATTTTTAAGAATCGGGGTGTCCGTATTCAAATTTGACAACCTCATTCCCAGAATCTTTTCCTTTCCTTACGATGTCTCTTATCGTTCGGTAAATTCAGTTTAAATTCCATGAATACATAGAAGTCGTAAAGAATATATACTTCTGCGCAAGGCAATGACTGCAAACATAAATATTCTCCTTTACTGCTTTACAAATGATCTACAATCGCAGTTTATTATACACAGTCTAAACGTGGTAAAAAAATATGTATATTCATAATGGAATAAAAAAATTGATTTAATATGCACGAACTCACTATCGTAAAAGTTTAGAGGGAGATAAAAGAAGCAACCGTTAAAGACGTGAGGAAAAAACAGATTTTAAACCAGAAGTAATGGACATAATAAAGATGGAAAATGTGAGCCTCGGGCTCCCGCCTCGTGGCCGACACAGAACCAGTGCTTTTATATCCCACGGAGTGTAGCGGCCTAGTTTTCCGAGACCAACGGTCAAGGCCAGACCTTGCATGTTATTATATTTCTGTAATCCTCACAACGCCTCATTTCTGAATCTAAACCGGTGTCAACTGCGACTTTCAAGGAACGAGCCCCTGGCATGGTAACTATGGTGTACTCCTGGGAAAGAAACTATGCTCTGTAAATACCTCGCTACAGCCAGGAGTAGAAATTAAGAACCGGCTAAATGTCAGGAAATTGTCGGAGGATAGAGAAAGTTTCACTTGATTGAAATGCTATCCGTAAGGTGGAGATAGATTGGGACAGAGCAATCCACTTAACTCGTGTTTAAACTTCATTTGACTTCACTAGTATTCAGCAAAAGGAAGGTTCGGGACCTGAGAGGATATTTCGTTTATAAAAACCGTACAATTTTTAATAATTTTTTAGTCTTCAAAATGTGTTCGGCTCTACCTACGACAATTTTTTGCCTCCGTGATGCATCAGCCACTTGTGTGCCAACAAATTGTCTTTTTATATTAAATTATAGCCGTTTATTTGCCTGTCCAGACCACCTGTCTTTCATCTTTCATGGCTGTGGGGTTGTTTTCCGTTTAAGCGGACTCAGTGATTTGAATGTTTCAACACAAAGATGTAATTTGGCTCGTTAATAGATCATTCTGTTTCGCCTTTTAAGACGCTTTCGAAAATTTTCTATGCAGCACTGTAGCTTGCTGTCTCACATGATATGGTGTTATATAATTTTTGGGCTGGTAAATCATCAACACAGATAACGAGGTTAATGGAGGTGTTTACTTTCTTCTGATTGGTTCCTAACTACCAGGTTCTTTTCTCGACAGTTTTAGTGATTATACAATGTTTTCCTTAAAATGGCGAGCTGGTAAAAAAGAGCTGCTAGGTTTAATTTTGGAATGATGATACATTCGATCAAGATTTTGCTTGGTCCACTTTGTGAAGGATGGAATCCGCAAAAAGACCCAGTATGAGAAGATTCTTTTTTTATGGGTAAGCTGATTTTAGGAACGAAAATGCTGCACGGTAGACTAGCTGTCAGGGTGTTGTTTGCTTTATTTTTTTCCTTTTTTGAAAGATGTAAGGCGCTAAAATGCCCTATGTTCTATTCATCCTGTGTTCAACTTAGAAAAGAAAAATACCTTCATCGAGTGGGCTCCGTTACAAAGAGTAATTTTTCTTTCTACTCGGCAGGCTATCTATTGTTGAAGTAAGAAAATATGGCATACGTCTATTTCCTGTAAACAAAGAGAAGATGAAGTGTTCTGCTTTTCTAGTCGTAACATACAGTGACGAAAAAATTTAAATACTGTCGAAGCAACACAATGTAATAAATGCTGCGAGAATGAAAAAGTGCGACGTCGTAAAACGTACCAGCCGGATTAGATTTTGCTGATAATATTGCTTTGTTTTTCTCAATCAAAGGGAGCACTTACTGGGGCTTGAAGATCTTTTAGTTGGAGGAAATGCAAATCTGGATTTACTCGGTAAGCGGAGAAACTATCGGTCATGTTTTCAATATTACCAATCGATGTTCACCTGTGTATGTGAATAGCAGAATTTTTTTGGCAAGAGCAGCAATCTGAATTCCCGTAAACCACAGCCGAATTGTAGTCGGGGAAAATTGTTCCGTTGAAAAGTAACGACGATTTTCCAAGCGATAATGAAAACAAAAGTTTGAATGTCATAAAAAAAAAAAAGCACTTTCCTGTTCAATGAAATTAAGAATACACATAAAAATTTAAGGCGCTTCCTCCTTAACCAGCAATTTCAATTTCACACCACTCTTATCTTCCCTCTACGATCATTTCATTACAACCTTAAGATTCACAATCTTTGTGGGATGTATCTTTTATCAAACAATTTCAGTTCAGATCTGAATGGAGAACTTCGCCTACAGCATATACCATCTCTTTCAACACTGCTCTTTTTCCCCGAAATTGCACTTTTAATTATTCAAAACGTTCCACAGACTGCTAATTGCGGGATCGCTGTCCATATCGCTGCAGATGTCGAGAATTTTTTGTAACAAAATAATAACAAAATGATGTCTTCGGAATAATATCCGCGAAATCTAATTTATTAAACACCTACAAGTCTTAAACCCAATTCGCATTTTACTTTTTTAAAATAGTCTTGAAAAAAAACCACGTTTATTAAAATGCAGTTCTGTCACACTAAATTGCGAATTGCGTGGTCTAATATTTTTATTCTCGTAGGTTTTTATAACCGTATGGTATGGATGTTTGAATGTTGTGTACTGCCTAGCAATACAGCCGCCCTCTTCTTCCGGGACAACCGCTTTCACGCAGAGGACGGTCGTATCAGTTACACCAACAATATCAGGTAAAATGTCATTAAAATTTACAGTTACAGAAAATATTATTCTCTCCGCAACGATGAAAAGTTGAGACGGTTGCATCTTCATGCATTATTTATCACTTGCTTTTACATGGTTTTTGTTAAAGTAGTTAATCTTGAGACATCACTTTGACACCAAGAGTCAAGTATATCGATTTACATACTGTTTTTCGTCGGTGGCTCTCATCTGTTTGACCTGGGGGGAGTAAATATGTTTTAATGCCTTTCGATGTTAATAAGCGGCCAAAACAGGGAGCTTGTCCGATTTAATTGAAATAGTGATCGTAAAAACTTACCGGCTTATTCTTTAGATGTTTTTCTTGTTTGGATACATAATGTGTAGCAGTATATAAATAGTTCTTCTGAGTTCGCCGATTGGCTGGCTCGGAGATTATTAGCAAAGTACCACTCAGCTCGGAGAACAGACAGAAGTATAAAATGGCTCTTGTATTTCATAGGGTATTAGACGGAAAATGTGTTCGTTAACAGAGCTCACAAAAGATACAAAAATGACAACAAAGTTTGGTTTGATTGCGTAGCATAGAAATTTTGATGTAAAAAAAAAAAAACAAAGATCGTTAAAGAGCAGATGGAGAGCGCTATCGAAGTGGGAGACGTAACTTAAAATGTGTTAAATTAGTTGCACTAATTGATGAAGCAACAGAAACCTTCAAAAGTCTTACCTTTCAGCAGCGAAGAGAAACGAGAGCTTTTCAAACAATGAGACTCTGTTGAGCACAAATAAGTATTGCTCGAGGAAAAATTCATCAGTCTAATTTCCGACCATCTATCAGTAAAATGACAGAAATTAAGAATTCGTTTGGTGCACTAGCTATTGAAATTATCCGATGTATACCAAAACAATATTTACCTCAGTGTCTATTAAAATATCACCTCCTCGCCGGTAAATAATGTTATATTTAAATATGAATGTGGTAGAGAGACATAAAATGTTTTCAAGAAGCGAATGTTGGATATGAACTACATTAGGGTTATTATCATAAGTAACTTTAATGGGCCCCTATCAAATTTTTCGAAAAATACGGATTTAGATGGTGACATTTAAAAAGCCACGCAATCAGTTTTGGCTGTTCCTACTTTCGTTATGTGGCCTTATTTCCAGAAAATTATTAACCTTGGTGCACCTGCAGAATGTATTTTCAAAACCATTGTAAACTACTAAATTCAGTTTGGCTAAAGTCCCTCGCAAGGTGTTGTTAGGCGCATTGGAGAATATTTATGTGGAGATTGTGCTAGATAAATGCGTCATCATGGATCGTTATGATCACTATCCTAGTGGATTCGAAAAGCTCCGTTTTTGATGAAGGTGGTGTTCAGGTGGTGTGGACAGTACGGTTGAAACTTAGCCCGAATCAAGGAGATAACTACAATGTATTAGTATTCGTGTAGAGGGTAGCTCTCAAGATCTAACTGTTAATTCTTCCCTTTAGCTGCTACGCATTTCCCAGCAAACTGTCACCTTTTTTAATGTTGTCCTCCGATTTAAATGGTATTTTGTTTCAAATTTCAGTGGACACTTCGATAGTTACCGCAAGGGCAGCGCCAACTCCTGTGAGATCAAGTGTTTCAGCCTCAGCTTCACTTCAAACAGAAGTAACTACCAACAAGGCATACACCCTTCCCGCTACCGAACCTCGTCCTGAAACAGAGATTACGCAGGCCGAGCCTCATACTGAAGGAGAGGCGCGGGCAGAAGGCGAGTCAACTGCAATAAGTGAACAAGCAGGAGAATCCGAACCATATGTAGAACCAGAGACGTGGCCGGAGCCAGGGCCAAGATGGAGTGAGGCCTTTGAAAAATGGAGGGCAGCTTGGTACATTCATGTCTATTTCTTCGCCATCGCTTTCCTCGCCATTGGATCTTATGCTGGTTATTACGTCATCTTGAACATTTACGACGGCTTAAGAGGAAAATACCTTAGTGTTTGTTTAAACGGTATGGTTCTGCTGTTTGGTACAACCAGGGCCTTTGTGCTGTTTTTGGATCCGTATCATCAAGGGAGCTTAATAAAGGCTCTTTTCACAATGCGCCTGTTATGGTCCATCGGCGGCCCTTGTCTCACCGCCTCTGACTCCCTCATAATTTTGGCCCTGGTAGAGACCGCTCGTGTGTCCATTGCGCCTCCAAGATTTCAGAGGCTCGAAACAATTTCGATCGTGATTGCATTCCATTTTGTTCTCGTTATCGTTTCAGACACAATCGTTTCTATTTACATGGAAGCAAAAATCATGATTTTACTCTGTCAGTTATTCTTCTCCGTTTGGGGAATTACGTTAGGTGCCGGATACGCAAACCTCGCGTACAAACTCGACAAGCAACTCTTCAGTCATAAACAGATCAAGGAAAAGGGAGATAAAGTATATATATTTCTCATTTACGCCTCTGCCGCGGCAAATTTTTTCATTTGCGGCGTTATGATCTACACCGCAGTGGGTGTTTTTGGTGTGTATACAGACATTGAATTCGTGGACGCCTGGCACTGGTGGACGTTGCAAACGTTATTTCGCACTGGGGAAGTTATAACCTGCGTCTTGATTTTCACGGTTAGCGCCAAGAGATCACGAGTAAAGCAAGCTGCAGATGAAGTTTCTGAGTTTGATTCTCGGTCACAAACGTTTGATTCGATAGACGGATGTTCCGCGTTTCGAAAAGTTCGATCGTTTTTTGACAGATGTAGAAAACGGGCAACGATCTCTGATATCGCAGATGTCTTTAAGGATGATTCAGAGACAATTGTGGTGGTCAGTAGAAGTAGTTTTAAAAAGAGAACTGCTGGTAAAGGCAACGATGAAGATGATGTCCTTCCCCCTGTTTTCGAAGCATTTCAAGAGAGGGACAGGGGGAGAAGGCAAGATTTGTTTTCTCATATGCGTGAGGTGACTGTCGAAAATCAAATTGCGCAGCTCGACGCGATGGCTCCAGCGGTTGCTCCTAGACCAAGGAGGGGTCGAAGACAGAGTTTATTTTCTGCCATGCATGAAGCTAGCATAAACAGCGCTATTTCCTCGTTTGCTCAGCAAATAACTGAAGCCAGCGAAGAACCCATGAAATGTGAGTCTTTCGAAACAGATGGGGAGCTTAACGAGGAGCCAAAACCTCTCCCTCGAAGAGGCCGGCGGACTAACGTTTTCTCGAATCTTCCGGAAACAAAACCGGAGAGGAAAAATCCTCGTCAAGGCATGATGGAAGATATTGTTGAGGAATCAACTGTTTACGAAGGGGAGGGTGACTCGATTAGGAGACGCCCACCACTATTGAAAATGCGGAGTTCAGACAGAATGCGTCAGTTAATTAATACTTGGCTCTCGCGAACTAAAGGTTCTTCCGATGAACCGAAAGACATTGCCGAGGAAGAGGAACCAAAAATTGAAAGAGATGAGAATTCTGCGACAGATTCCCTTCCTACAGAAAACTGTTGATGACCTTGTAACTAACTTGCTTGTAAAAAGCCATCTTTTTGGGTTCCTTGTGAATAATGCACAAGCCTTCAAAGCATTTGAAACATCCCTGTACCTCTTTTAAAGAGCAGTTTTCGACGTAGATCGTCTTTAGTACCACTGAATACATCTCTTCCTGTTCCTTTTTGATTCACATAATATCTCTTCACAATAAAATTGTGGAAATCTTGTGTTTCGTATCTTGCAGCATTAAGACTGAAATATTTAACTCATGCTTTTGTTTACTGAATTATTAGAGTCTGTTTGTTTGTTTGGTTGCTTTGCTTTGCTGCAGCAGTTTTTCTTTCAAAGAGTTGGAGGGTGGAGGGGTGCTTAAGGTGATTCTTTAGTAGAGTCAAAGCAGCCCAAAACACAGCCAGGTTGGATAAAAGAAAAGCGCACATTTTGTGACATTATAAGAAAACAGAGGGAGGGGGAATGATAAATTTTTAAGGAAGCAAGAATTCCCATTGCAGCATATAACTGCGTAACAAGGAGCCAGTACAGATAATAAAATACAATATAAAATAAAAAAATAGAAAACTAGAAAATTTCTCCTGCATGGCTCTTTGATAAAAAGCCGTAAGGCCCTGTCGAGCCAATCAAATAGACCTTATGAAAAAAATTTTTATCCTACTGAAGCCAATCTCGTCAACGTTAAAAAGACTCAAATCATATCAGTCCACACTCAATCACAAAGAATTATAGCCCCTTCATTGATTCTAAGTGATAAACATTCCTAAATGAAGTGTTTCAACTACGCCATGTTCTATGTTGTTCCTGTTTTAGAACCATAATCTCAGCAATGATTAATTCAAAGTTAGTAATAATAGTTTTTCTATTAATCAAAATATACAGAGAAAAATAACCGGCTAGTCTCTACTTTGCCTTTGATAGATCCAGTAGTTATTCAAGAATATTTTTAGCAATATTCATTGATTAAGATTTTCTCTATAAAGCTCGTTGTAACACTGTGCGATTTTTGGCTATTGTACCGTGAGTAAGCTTTAATACGTAAGAGAAACTGAAACATGAATTTGGCAAGTAGAGACAAAATAGTTTAGGTGAATAAAACATCAAATGTGTTGCTTGATTAGAATTTTTGGGTTGGGATAAGAGATATTAATATACTTTGAAAGAAACCCAGCTGTGGACGTCATAAAGTTCCTTACACGACCGTTACGGCGTACAGAAAAAGGAAAAAAGTCGTAATTGATTATTAATTTATGTACGTACAAAGTTCACATTTAGAGTTTAAGTGAAACATTATTAACCGAGTCTCTGTGTCTCATTCAGCCCTATTTACATGCTCTTAAAAATCCAATCGGTAGGCATGTTTGGGTTTACAGGACAACTGACCTTGGCAGAGCTCACATATTTTTAGAACCCTAACCCAAACAATTTCACTGGACATTCGAAATGAACAACAAAGTACTTGAAGAACAACCAACCGTCGTGAATTAAAACCTAAACAAAACTTGTCGTTGAGGATTCTAAGCAAGGTCAAAGACAAGCCCAAACAATACTAACGATGACGATTTTTCAGGAGAATTAAGCCCTATTACAACGGTCAAGGACACATAACTCAAAGGTAAAAATAAATGTGAGGTCTTGCAGCGCTTGATAAAGCAAGGCTCACAAGACTCGCAGTAGGATTCCAGCATAATCTAACAGGCCTAAACAATTCCCAAACACTTAGTCAGAACACAGTTCCTAATTTTAGTAGTTCCCAAACACTTTTAATTTTAGTAATTCATAATACGTACTATAATATCCACAACTAGTTAATCACTGAATTCTTCGATCATTTTTGTGTATTTTTGTGCACCTGATGACTGAGATTGAGTGGCCTGAAAAAAACTTAACAATATCTAGATGGCTCGCCTTACTGTGGAAACGTGTAGGGGAACTGTTTTTTCGTTAAACGAAAAAAGTTCGAGAAGTCACGTCGAGGTTACAATTTACTTATTTTTGTGCATATTTTTATGTAAGAAATTTGTACCCATCTTTTTAAGACAAGATAAACAAAACAAAAATACGAAAAGTAGAAAACCACCTCAAGTCATAAATATTCTCGCGGGTCATAGCACATTCTTCGAACGGAACAGTTCAAAACAGTGAAAATCGAACCTTGTAGATCCTAATACAAGGGCTCTTGCTAGTGGTGCAGTCACAGATAGACAAAATATTTCATAAAAAGTGCGACAGTTGCTTTTATTACCAAGGGTGCTAATTGTTATTATGAAATGCGCATCTTCCGTTCTTTAATTGCAGAAGGTTATATAGAGTTCGACGATTTACCGTATTGAAAGATTATATATACGTATACTAGGAAATGTTTTTCACCTTAATGTCTGTAACTCTCACCCTCTATTCACCTCCACTTCGGGGAATAGTTCGGTCTTCATAATAATTCACGGACGGGTAGCAGTAGGAGGTAAACATTTTTGACAACATAGCGGTGGGAGGTAAATAAAAAACACACAGGGTACAAAATAAGGAAAAGTGGGAGATAAAAACAGGAAAATAAAAAAATCCTCTAAAAAGCAGAAAAATGTTTTCAATTGTGACAATTTACATTTTTTTCATGGACTTAATGAGAAGACTTTTTCATATAAACCACACTCTTGCTCATTATATCACAACTGACTTCAGACTTTACCAATTATTTATACAAATGTATGTAATCTCTATAAGTTATTTCTACTCCATTCTGAGGTTTATTCGCTTTTATCACTTATAGTCCTAATTTTCTTAGCTTGTGAAACACTTATATCATGAGCCTCGGGCTTGGGAGAGTGGGAGACCACCTCCTATGTATTTGACGTTAAATAAATGGTCTTATCTCATACTACGAAGCCTTGTTCAGTGAGACGGTCGAAAGAGTTGTACTCGTAGTTCGGAAGGGAGGTTCCTCCGTTTTGACAAGGTGAAGAAGAACAAGGAGACTGCAATAAAGGAATAAAGAAAAATTATTTATCGTCAAGACCAGTGAATGCTTAAACAGTACGTCGGGGATGAATGACGCTCTTCTCTTCTTAAAGTTATCAACAACACCTGCGTCGGAAAAAGTGCCTACCTGAAAAGAAAAATGATAAAAACCCATTTTTTCGTTGTAATTCTCGCCGTCTTCGTCCTTATCAAAAGACAAGAATTCGCTCCAAGGCCAAACTGCAAAAAAATAACGTTTCTTTTCTTTTTTTTCTTTTTTGAGTATATAAGACTTATTGAATAACAAAAACCAATTATTATTAATTGACCATCATTAGAATTTAAGCCTAGATTGCTTAAATTCTGATGCCTATCCTCTTTCATCTTTTCTTATTATTTCTTCTTTTCCGATTCCATACGAATTTTTTAATCTTTTATCGTTCGACAGCAAAACTTTGTGTAGATGGGCGCTACCGTTGACTCCCAGTTTCCTTCCGTCGGAAAGAATTTGGGCCATAATGGCTGGCTCCTTATCAAGTTCTAACAAATTGATAGGGGGCAAGAAAATCCTGGAGCCATTTAATTACATGATAAAACAAATAGTTGTAACAGAGTTAATGAGACGTTTTCTTTTTCTTCTCACAATGATGACAGAAGGCTGAATAGGAAGCCAAAATCGTCTTTCCGTTTCCCTTTGGAAAAAATAATCACGTGGGCGACGGTGGTTCCTCATAAAATTGCAGCTTACTAATGATTGCAAAAAAAAAAAAACAAAATTGGTTGATTAGTAGAAGAAACAAAATGCCTAGGCCTTGTTTTGCGTGACAATGATGATACACAATGAAATTCATTGAAATGTCTTTTTAGGACAGATGAGAGAGTGCGGTATTAATTTTTTTACCGAAAGCATTCTTGGAGACCGATACCACGAATATTGATAAAACACGCATTCTGATCGATTGAGAAAGAATGTTTCGTCAAAGTGTTATACTTGCGAGGGACTGGTGACGTTGTCATAATTTCAAGTGATATGAGGAAGGCGTAGTTTAATAATCCTATGCAAATTTCATTGCCTTTGAATTTCGATCGTCGTTCAATCGCTCTGAGGCAAGTCACTGATCTGCTTAGCTAACGTTTGTTCTCATTTTGCGGTCAACTGCTAAAAACAGCTGAAAAACGAAGGTAGACTCGAAGGAATAGAAATAAAAGCGAGAGTAGGATTAACGAAAATCTCAGCAGATTTGTTTTGTTTCAAACTTCTTTCTATCTTCAAAGATAGAAATCATTTCACCTCAATTACAACTTTCCTGTCTGCCAGAATAAAATTTCCGTAGTAAGTCTTCCGCATACTTTATTTACGGTAACCTAAACATAGAGAACGTGAAATAACTTTGTGGCAATAATAAAATGTATTACCTTTCATGTACTGAACATGCAAGAAATAAGAGGCAAATAATTTCCCGTATAAAATAAGTACAAATAATGGATGCATAGCTATAGCGTGGTCTAAAGGTTCCCCTTAAAAGTATCTTTGCTTGCAACTAAAGACAAGGGCTTTTCTAATATTTTCAGAATGTGGAAATCTGACAATACAAGAATATATTTTTGTGTTGCCCAATAAGACCAATAACCAGATAACGGCACAACTGATTCCCCGTCTCCATCCAATAGGTATAACGTGAGTCAACTAAGCTCGTCACTAAGTTCAGGGGAAACGGGAGATTTAGTGAAAAGACACGCCGGGTCTAAAGTCGAAGAGAGGTGTTACATTCAAGCCGCAAGTCTTTTTAGTGCCTATGGGAAAGTTATCAGGTAATTTTCCAGCCCAGTCTCACTCTGGGCTTAAGAGTTAACCTTACATCTAAAGCTATTTATCCGCTGATGTATGACTCCTCCATCTCTACCGCCAAGTTATATTTTTGAATGATATTAGAAATTCTGATACCATCTCGTACCCGTGGTTGACAACAGATCATCATAATTTTAACTTTCAATTGAGATTTCTGTGACAATGAAAGATGTCGGTGGTACAAAAGAATCTTTGTATCTCAAATTTTTAAAGATCGGCAGAAATTTATCAGTGAAGATTGATCCAGGGTAAAACTACTTTTATATACTGACACAAGTACAAATCCAGGAGAGCAACCTCATTATTCGAGAAATGTTCATCTCGTCGATCCAAAAGATTATTGGTATTATATGAAAGATTTCTTTCTCATTGTACCAAGATGTATCCCATGGCTTTAATATGTTTATGACCATTATCTGTGTAGTGCATGGCTTCGTTACCACATGTGTTAGAGTTGTCGTACATCCCTCCTGTGCCAAATCCAATCCTTGAGTCACACGAGTAGCAATCGTTCTCGTTGTTGGCAACGATACCAATTCTTGCTTTAGAACTTTTCTCTTTACCAAAAAAGACATTGAACCCTTCCCTGTTGCAGTTGCGCTGTAAAGAGGCTTGCGAACCAATCAGCTTCTTCCACGTGCCACGACCCAGTGAGGTGGAATGATAATGCTCATCAGCGATGAGTGAGTACAGAGAGTGAGCTTGCTTGTTGATGACAATGAACTGAATATGTTGTCCGATTTTCATACCGAGACAGAGCTTGGAGAAGGACGTGTTCCAGTAGGTGGGCAGCTTTGTTTCCTTTTTATCAAATCCAGTCTTTCCCCCGGGAAGGTTGTATTCTTCATAATTACTCCAGTAACTCGCATTATAGTGAAAGGTTGTCTAAAAAGAATTAATCATTCCTTCATTTCTCTCCTAAGAATCGTTCGATCAAAAATACTCAATTAACGTAATTTTTCGCTCAAAGAAAAGTTATAGCTTGTAAATCTGATGTATCATAATAATTACTCTAATAATCCTATCGATTGTTATACATATGATCTTCTTAACCATCATCATGCTGGTATTTTTTAGATGTATGGTCAGGCAAATAAAACCATTTAAAGCCAGCCCGTTTTAATCTTCAAGTCTGCGGTAATCTTTTTAAACTTATCATAATATAGGAAAAATGGAAGCTGTTAGTCTGTTTTTTTGTCTTTGATAGATATGTTGGTTTTTTTGTAGTCTTTACTGATGATCATCAATTATGATAAGGTGGTCTCGCCATATAACGTTCCCCATATGATTGTTCGCAAAAGAAGGAAGATTCGAAAGAAAAAAAGTTTGTCCGATTGCCATGTAACAAACTACTTATTAACCTCGCCAGTATTCCTTCGTAGGACCCTTGCGCTCGGTTAGTTAGAAGGTAATATTCTCGCCATCAAGCTGAACACTTTTATAACACTCTAAGATTTATGGCAGCACTATAAATCGGCTCTAATTACACAAAAGAGACTGAAACGTGACCAAATTGCACCTTTGTGCCGTCAATCTTCATAACTGGCGTCCATCCTCCATCTCCACATCCAAAATCTCCCATGTGACAGAGAACGGGGACTGGTTGGGAGTCCAAACGGAGGGTGACAAGCTGACTGACATTAGACCTATTGACATTAACAATGACGCATCAAATGATTTAATCTTTACATTATATTAAGTTAATGCTATCCAAAAAATAAAAAAGTTAACGGGATTGTTTTGTTACTACTGCAAAGATATTTTGGGTCTTAATAAATTGTTAGCCTTTTTCCTTCTCGCCCCAATACTCTGGATCCTGACCTATTATGCGCATTGTCTGTCCCTCTAGAACGCCTCCGGAAGGGACCTGGGACGGAAAGTGACTTCGTAAAGGATTGCACATGCGCAGTATGAAAGATAATTTGATATTGTAAACAAGGAGAATCAAAGTAAGACGTAGTTTTTGCAGTTTCTAAGGAGAGGTAGAAGTTTCTAATGCTAAGACTTGTACACATTGTTGTTCTGGACCCCATTGTGTGTTGGTTTACACACTTGTGCACTTTGCACGGCGGAGTGATGAAGTCTTCCGTAAACTTGGCCGTGCTGGCTGTACTTATTCTCTGTTGTGATCATGGTGGAGTTGCCGGTTAACACCAAGGAAAATATGTGGAAAAAGAAAGAACCAGAGCCACACAAGATATTTGTGACGATCACAGGTCTATGTTTAAAGCAGAAAGCAGACTGTGCAGCAAGGGTAGAAGAAAGCTTCTATCATCATCCTTTATCACCGGAACGAAGCGTCCGAGTTAAAACAGTTGGGATATCTCACAATACGCCACACGCATTCGGAAATCCCTGTTAACATTTTCAAACTCTCGTGCATGCGCAATGGTTGACCGCTGTGTTTGCTGCTCTGATTCTTTCAGTATGGCCTATAACTTACCTTTTGAAGTCATAGAGCGCCTTGCAAGACGTAATAACTAAGAGATAGAAAGGAAATATTTATTTTATCTATGTTTCAATTTTCCTTACTTAGAATATCTAAAGCCTAATTTCCTCGCAGTTGAATGCGTTTTGTATATTTGTTGTGTTCATATTTCTGTGTAGGAAATGTACCAGCTTTTTTAGCCTTAATAAAATTGTGACATGCATTGACGGCTCGGCCAAGATTTTAACGGAGAGTCACTTTTTTCATTCGAGTCTTCTTACTTTATTTTTTGCTGATTTCTCATCATTTGGTGAACTCAAAGAAGTACTGTACAACTTAAATACAAATAACTACATAGTGCTGGTATCCATTTATACAGTATCGACACAGGACACAAGGAAAAATAGGAGAACCACATGATGAAGAAATGAAAAGTTTTTCCAGAAAAAAAGTCTTAGCAACAGATTATTATTATGAATAGGCCGAAGAATAATGACACATTACCTTTCTCACAAAATTCTCCTATAAAACCTGGTTCACAGAGACATTGGTAAGAGTTGTATTCGTAATTTGGCACGCAGATTCTTCCCTTTTGACACGGCCAGGACGAACAAGGAGACTAAAATAAGAAAAGAAACATGTTGGTTTAACTTAAACCGGGGAATGTTTGAACAGAAGTTTGATAAATGAGGCCGAATAGCACTGCAAGAACGACACTCAATCAAAAACGCGCTCTACTGTTAACGTTCAAATTCGAACACTGTGAAAAAGTTATTACCAGAATAGAGAAATGATGCGAACTCGTGTTTTCTTTGTAGTTCTTAATGTCTCTGTACTTATCAGAAGACAGCAATTCACACCAAAGCTTCCCCTCTGCTCCTTTGAAGGCCGCCATGTTTATTGAGAGGCACAAAGCATTTTTTAAACATTCAACTATGCAATCTAACAGGTCGGACACAGTCAATTTTCCAACTCGAGTTACGTTCAGATGATGGAGCTCGTCTTTTGAAAACAGACGCTGTTTCAGTGTCTTTTCAGAAGGGAAACTATCTCCTTCCAAGGCGTTTATGTCTGAAGTAAAAAAAGTAAGGATTAATCATGAATAGCTCTTTGCTAGTTCAATTTCGCTGAACTATGACATCTTCCTTAAATTGTACCTTAACATAAAAGCTATAGATTGAACCCTTTGTTCGTCAATAAGCAGGATTCCCTTAAATCCTCATTTAGAATAGAACTTCAAACCTTTCGATACTGCGCACCGAACTCCATCAATGAGCTACCGTTTATTTGAGGCACGCATCCTGCAAACTGCGAGAATCAGCATGACCTAAAACTTCATGTTATAATAGAACACTGAAGATAGATGATGAATTTTAAATACTGTAATGAAGTGGAGAAAGAAGTTTCCTCGGCCTGTCTCTATTTGCCCACACGACTCTTTGGACATTGTTGATCCTCATGCTCAGTATGCAAGGTGAAGCAATTTAAGATTATTGAAGTATGTGCAGGATAGTGTCACCTGTGTATCCAAGTGGAAGTTCTCGTAGAAGGCAATTTTAGAGAACTTAAGCGATAAGCCAGTACACGTTGATGTTCCTGCTTCAAACGAATTTAAAGTTCTAGGTCTAGGAAAAGTTGTCATAAACAAATTGAGTGCGTGAATCCGATGAAATGTTTTGAATTTGTCTACTTCTAGAAGTTTTGAAAACTCGACGTAGAAATATCTCTAACTAGGATGCAAAATTAATACTTTGATGAAGTAAAAACAAAACTGATAAAAACAAAGAATAGACGGGAATAATGCCAACGGATTAAAGATGTATGTATCTGTTAAAAATTTTAATAAAACCCGAAGTCTAAATTTTTCAAGCTGTTCTGAAGTGACCATTCGGCATATGCTGTTTCAGTAGTTAGTCCTCAATCATCAAACACCGATGAAAAGATAGGGTTAAGAATACGAGAAGTCTGGTGATAGTCATATTTTCCAACGAGTTACTTAAGGCCCAAACGCGTCTGACATTCATCACAACGTTGCTAATTAGATGTGGCTTAGGCTTCAAAAACAGTATGAAGGCATGTAAGGTAGAAACAAAGATTATAATCTTTGAAAGAAATAAACTGTTTTTTAAATAAGTAGCACGCGATCATCAAATATTTCGCAATTTGGCCCTTGACTTGCTAAGAGTAACCGGATCAATATCAGTATCTGGGCAACTGCCCACCTGCCCCTCCCCTAACCCAACATTATCCCTAACTTGTTGTCAATTGACTGTTGTTGAGTTAGGGGAGGTGTAGGTGGGCAGTTGCCTGGGTAATACAAAACAATGCACTGAAATAATTGCTTGCAATAAGCTGCCCGAGCATTAAATAATCGATAGCATTTTGTATACGTTTAATTCTGAGAGAATTCTGATGACTTCAATTATCAATCAATCCGAAAAGCGATTATTTATGATAGAATTGGAAGCAGCAAATATTTGGTAAAGCTATATTTTATCAGCTATTATAAAGCCTAAATCTTCCTTCGATTGCTCTCATCAGTACATAAATGGTTTCTTATTTATTACTTATGTTTTACTTATTCCCCTCGGTCGGAAATTTGATCAACATCAATGACTTTCGGAAGTGAAAAATGTTTTTCATACTTCTTGAAAGTATCAGATTTTTGTCTGGAATTGTCATACAACTCCGACAGTTATGTTGATTTTCCAGTCCACGTCGTTCTCCCGACTATCATTTTTACATTTTTTAATCCTCTCATAGCACAGGTACGAAAAAACACATCGCCTCCGGGTGAACTACCTCCACAATAAATTTCCATAACGAAACAGATGCTATAAGCCAAAAGTGATATTTCACTCGATTCATGATGTATTTGGCTTATATTTTACAGTGTTTATGGATTTAATTTAAATATAACCGCCTGCTTTTTGCGAGTTAGAATGTTACTCTCCGTCGCTCAACTGAATAGTTCCAGTGCCAAAGGCTAAATTTCTGAATAAATTTTAGTCCAAAGTAAACGGTCTTAAGGGGTTATTGTGAAGAGCATGTTCAGAAAGTGCCTCGTTTGTTATTACGCGCGCTTAAATCTTGAAAAAAAGTGATACGAAATTAATCTTTTTTTGAAAAAAAAAACCCAGTAATTTCACCTCTGTCGGTCTTAAAACGAGAACGAGAATGAGACACGTTAAAATTTACTAGAGCAGTTAGTTTCTAAGTAGTGGCCGATGATGCTTGGATTGAGGCAACTCTCCTCCAAACATACCCTCTTATGAAGCTTTCATTTGAACCTAGAGTATTAAAGGTAAATCTTACCTTTAACAAAACTTCAACCGACTGTAGGCGATACAAATTTCTCTCTACTAAACGGAATAAGAAACCTTGAATAGCAGAAGTAAATAATGAAAATACTTACCTGAGGAACATTGGGCTGCAGTGAAGATCGATGACATGGAAAGCCAAATGAGATGGCGCTTGAAATCAGAATACATGACGGAACGTTAACGCGCCCAGTAAAGTTTAGCTTTTCATAGTGTGTAAGATTATTTGCGAGTAGTTTGGTTAAACAATTGGCATCAAAGTGATATTCTTAAACAAATCGTTGATCTTGCTAGGGTTCGATAACGAAAAGATGGCTGACTATTTCAAGCAAAGAACTCCTTCATTATGCGACTTATCTAAGGAATTCTGCAATTGAATGGCACAATTAACCTCTTGTGTCAATCTGCTTGGGACAACGGGGGCGGGGGGAGGTTAACAATTGTATAAAAACAGAAAGAACTAGACGTGACAAATGGCTCAGTGTGCGCATCTTAAGAAAGTTACTCTTAGCGTTTGAAGGTTCTACTTTTAATAATTTATCCCCATATCATTTTTGTTATTTTACAGTAAGCACAGACGCATGGCGCAAATAGTTGACAGGAGGTTTAACTGCAATCTACTGTACGGGTTCATGCGACTCAAATAAATCCAACTAGAAGGATACACGAAGTCATTTGTGCAAATATTAGGATAAAGGCTTCATTTATAAAACGTGACGTCCATTCAGCACCTGTTTTGATCACAGCGTAGGTAACAAAAACAACTTTCTTCACTTTATGAAATGTTATTCTCAATTCCCTTCTCGTTCCGATTCTTGTTTTCTTTCTTTTTTTCAAAGACACAACCTTTCATTGTATTTTTAATGAACATTTTATACTAAGTGGTAAACCCTTTTAAGTATTCGTATTAGACGAGGTTGGCAAATAGCTAACCGGTGAAAAAAATAAGAAACGAAAACCCGATTAAAAAATTATCCTCGATGTCTAGGCTAAATTTTTTCAAAACGTACTAACTGTGCTCTTTGGTATTTATCGCTCACTCAATCGTTAATTTTCTACCGAATGACAAGGACTTTAAGTCTACTAGACCTTAAATTTGTCTTCGATCTTTTAGATAGGGGTTCTTTATGAAAACTTAAGGAAATTTTTACCGCTTTTCATGTAAAGCTAGTTTGTTTTCTGTTTGTAATGTTATCAATTATTCACGAGTGACAACCATTCAACCTTTGACTACTTTAATGAGATATTTTTACAACGAGTCGCAAATAACGAGTGATAAAAAGTTTTCAAACAGTTTCACTTGTGGGAATTCGTAGTTTGATCTGTTTATTGGTAAGACAAACATCTCTTTCAAGCTACGGAGAATAGGACCAAGCGTCTTAAATTTTACTGCCCCGCAAATAAATCTAAAAAAAAACTATTGGATACATGTTGGTGCGATAAGAACAGACTTATGCAATGATCAAAAATAATTAATCAATCTTAGAATCATTAAGATTTAAGGTGATTCCTCAGAGACAAAAGTTATCGAAAATTTTACGGACTTTCCTTAAATTCTCTCTACCAATCTCTGTTTCGAAAAACACAATAAAAGAGACAGGTCACCAAGCTTGTTTTGGAGATATAATGGGCCAAACTTAACCCATTTCTGTCTGTATTGGCACTGATCATGATTACGCGCGTCATTTTATTGGCTCACGGTACATTTTGCTGCCGCTGGAAGCAAGGATTTTTTAAGTAAGCATTGAATAAAACTTGATAGGTAGAAAGTCTCGAGTGTATAAAGCAATTAGATGTATAATTTGTGAGAAAATCACGCGAATTTAAACGACATAGACTTAAAGCCTTCTTCTTTCGCTTCGGATAAATTATTTCTTTTAATTTCCCCAGTTTAAGCGGATGAGCTGTACACCAAACTAAAGCGAACAGAATACAGCCGCCGTGCTCGCTCAAGAGCTTAGGACCATCTTACCTCTTGATCTGGTTCTTGGATTGAAAAAAATAGCGTGTTCTCTAAATGCTAGTACGCGCTCATTCCCTTGATAACGTGATTTTCATGCGTAGTACAAGATGTACAGTGCAAAACTGAGGCACTACCTCAAGGCTACTGTCAACAAATTAGGGTACCTTCCGGAAAATCGTCCTACTCGCGCAACTTTAGAAGAAACCACGGATTAAACTATAAACTGGAAAGCTTTGAGAATAAAAATTCTGTAAATGTCAAAATTTTTCACAGTTTTTTTTTTATTGAAGCGCGCGCGAACGTGCAATAGACTAAAGACGTTTGCTTTGCTTAATTACCAACCTCCACGTTACCGCCGACCTCCAAACAAACTGGACAGTATCATTCAAAAGTATCCAATTTTAACTAGGCGTTAGTCATAAAAAAATGTTACACAGAAAAGTTCTTCTTTTAATCACAAGGAAGAGAGTTGACCGTTAGCCGTAAAATGCCTAAAATTTTAATCTTTAGCCTTAAAAGCCATTATCTCATCTTCTGTTTGCATTACTTATCGATACAAACAAATCCCTGATACCGTTAGTAGACCTTAACTCATACATATGGTCTGGATGCAACGCCTCTTGTCTTTACCAGGTGTATTGCAACTGAACGTCCGTTATACAAGTATTTTTGTTTTTGTTTTATTGGTTTATTAATTTGCTTTTGACCTTTTATTTTCAAGTCTGAACTCCAGTTACGTCACTGGAGTGGAATCTAGACCTCTCCAGGTTGAAAACGTTAATAATTTGATACATTAAACATTCTGTATAGAATAATGTGTTCAAAATGGCTGAAAATGGGCGAGAAATTTGGAGATGGCGAATTGCTTTTAGTTTCTTTACATTAAGCTGTTTCTTCTCCCACCTACCAAACTTTTAAAAGATATGTCTATAAATATTTCTTTTCCAGGGAATTGATCTGTGATTTCACTTAAAGTGATCGCAACGTCTTCAATTTGAATCGTTTGTCTCTTAACATGAGGCAATTTCTTCCGTTAATTCTGCTTCGCCTCTCCAGCTTTTTTCTTTTTCTGCTTCGAGTTAGTAAAGCGAACACATCACTCAGATTCCCGGCGTCGGCTAATGTTTAGCTTTTCCTTGTGATTCGGAGGGCACTCTCTCATCCTATGGGTTTTTATTCGGCAAGTTGGAAACTTTTCTTACTTAAACATATAGGAAAGTATTAAAAGACAAACAGAAAATGCGTTTCTAAAACTTCTTCTTCTTCTGGCGTCGTCCTCATCGTTTCCTGTTTTTCTACCTTTCGGATATTAGACCTATGCTGACAGAGGACTATCTCTTATTGAAATAGTGCGCCAGTGAGACTGGATACTAGTTTCGCTTGGTACCAGAGCTTTCTTATAGAATATTAAAGATCATCAAAAATCCAGCGTTTATTTAAATACTCTCAAGGCTTAAGAGCAGCTTTTCTTCGAACATAAAGTGGATGTCTCATGTTGAAAGTAGAATTTGTTTGTTGAAATCGGTTTAAGGCCGAAGGAAATAAGTGTGATCGGCTAAACAAATCACTCGCAACAAAGCTGAAGTTTCCCTCGCTCTTAATTTCATGTTAGCTATCTCGGCTCGAAACTCCATTTATTACTCCGATAGGTACCGTGGTATACACTGAGTTCGAAATCATGGCCGATCTCTTCAGGAGGGAACTTTTACAGGGAACCCTTCCCTAGCAGGAAGTACCTAATTTGTTTCTATCAACAGGGCTGTTTTAGCAACGTATTAAGCAATAAACAAGGAATTCTAATATTCGGCATGGCTTCTTCAAAGAAAAATAAATGGAATAAATTAAATTAAACATTTCAGCACACGATGCAAAACTTTATCGAAACAAAGTTTGGTTCGAAACAGGTGCTCCTTGAAGGTGCGTGGAAATACGACTGATACATATTCTTCACAACAAGTACTGACTTGAACCTTTTCTTATTACCTTTTTGTAATAAGTGACCAATATGAGATTAACAAATAGAAATTTATTTTATTTTCAACCGGAGAGCACGGAGAAGCGTAAGAGCTGCACGAGGCGCAGCCGATAGAGGATTGCGTCATATCTCGCAAGAATCGCCTCGCGCGAGGGGCAGGGGCGCTAATTTCAAACTGGTCGCCTCGTGTTTGTCAATAGAGTGGTTTAGCAAGAGGACGGGAACGTCATTTCAGAACGGCGCGCGCAGCAAAAATGTCGATAAGAAATTGGGTCGAGAACGCCGTTGTGTTGAAAAGTGATTTAGCAGTCGTTGCAACGAGAATCCTCACTTCGGCTTTTTAAAGATCACCATCACCTTTAAATTTTCGGTTTTATAGACCACTCTAGTTATGTAACAGGCGCAAACAGAGGATAGTTATAGATATGGCAAGTAAGTTGTTAATATGAATCCACATGGGCGATTAAACTTTGAAACTATTCCACTCCAGTTTATTCTCGAGTCTGCTGATTCATCTATTAAATTTTGAAGCCCACTAAATAGTTTTTTTTCTATGATTTGTGTCGCTGTCGTTCCTTTCGTGCTACTAGATTTCAGCACTACTCGTTTTTCTTCATCATTTTGTAAAAGATAATTTGGAAATCGTCGTCGTTTTTCCCCTTGTTTACTGAATATTCTTCTCAATTATGACAGGACATCTCTTTTGAGCACCACCTTCTTAGAGTTGAAATGCATTTTGAACGGAATTATCAGGAGTTATGGCGAAACCATGTAGAAACCAAGCGACCCAATGATGTAGTTGTTTACAATGAGTTCCTATTTATCCGTGAAATAATGAAATTAACTCAAACTAGTCACCAACGAAACGGTTAGACTTTGGAATAAGACTTCGTTCCTGTTTTTTTCTTCCGTTTTTGTTTATTTTAATTTTTTTAACGAATGAAGTCGTTCAAGACTGAATCAAATTAATCGATTTAGAAAGCCGTGCCGAAATCAAGTTGATTGTCATTTTATTTCGAAGCGAGAGCATGACTTTCTTGTCTTAGTTTCATCGGCGCTGATCAAAAATTTCAAACATAAAAAAGTGCATACCTGAGCTATTCTCAATTTTATTTCATATCTGACTTCAATTCGCAGAAAAGTTTTCAATCACGGTGAAAACGACAATAACAAAAATTCACATAGAATAATACAGTAGGTAAGCGTCGTGATATTTCATTTTGATAAACTTCA